CTTACTTACTTGTAGTAATCACTAACAAAATTTTGCCTTCTCCCCAAAAGGGTTGATTAATTTGATGCTAGATAGGGGATATGTATATAAGATCTTTCTACACTGAATCACAAATTTGGGTTCTTGAACATTTTGAAAAGTCAGAGGAGAACATACATTTGTTGTGAAGTTTGCACTCATCTTTTAATATTCAAATCTGAATTTTCAAAGTCTGGAAATACTGTAGAGGGGACAGAGATAAATCTGAGCGGAGTGTGATTAATTGGCTCAAGTAGTTTGTTAGAGCACAGGATGGGACTCAAAGAAGACTTGGATGCTTTGTACGTGCACACTTAAGGCCATGTATGTACGTGTGCATGCATGCTCACTTACCTGTGTACCCTTGGAGATCAGACATCTGATGTTGTCCACTGTCACTGTCCACTAACTTCTTTGTTGGGACACGGTCTCACTGTCCCCTTCTGCTGGCTGATCAAACAGTCCCTAGATCCCACCTGCTTTCCCCTGTCACTAAGCCTGGCATTGCAGATGTGGAGCACTGTACACAACTTCCATGTGAACAGTGAGAATTCAAACTTGGATTCTCGTGCTTACATAGCATCTACTGAGCCACCTCCTCAGCCTAATGAGCAAATACTTTAATATTAGTTCCAATTTGATTATTGGCTCTTTCTGGGTCCTGACAGATAAATTCAAGAAGCCATCATCAAAGAAAATAAATCTGGTTGCTAACTAGTACAGTCAGTGAGAGATCCTCCAGTATGTAGGTAAAAGGTCAAGTAGGACCAGAGCTATGGGGAAAGGACACTGCTCTAGGGGGCCCAGGGTGTACTATTACCTGACATGCTGACAGACTGTTTACATGAACACTTACATGTTAATGGACATGTGAACAGAAATGCACACATTTGTTCAAGGGACAGAGATGGGACAGCAGCTGCTAGCTGGGCTCAATTTTGAAGGATGAATTCCAGATGGTTAACTCTGAGGAAACATCTATGGAAGGACTCCTATACTCAATTGCCTTGAACACCACAATAACTTGGGGAGTTGTCCATAATCTTTGTCTTTATATCCGCACAATGTGTTTCAAACTTAGCAGGGTAGGTTGGTTAAACTACTGCAGCAGATGAGCTAGCCAGGGCTCTGCTGGAGAGTTCCTCCTGGTGGTGTCAACGATGGACAACTGACAGGCTGGCCAACACAGCTACCACCAGGCCCAGAACCAGGGTTATGAGTTGGACTACCCCAACATCCATCTCATCTGTGAACTGCTGGAGAATGCAAAGGAGACAGACTTACAGACCCAAAGCTGCAGGGTCTCTATGACACAAGGATCCAAGAGGAGTCCCAGTGAGGGCCCAGGGTCTCTATGACACAAGGCAACAACAGGATGTCCAAGAGGAGTCCCAGTGAGGGCCCAGTATGGAGGGGACAGAGGCCTCGAACTAGACCAATACTCATAGCCATGAATACTTACAAATAAAGATGTATGTATGGACTAAAGTTATACTGTGTGACTCAGTGTGTTCACACTACAGCTTTCATGATGAGACTTCTGTGTTTGCTTGTTTTTGTTTTTCCCTTAAAATGTATCTTTTGGGGAGGGAGGTTAACAGGGCAGAGGATGGATATGAAAGGATGGAGAGATGAATGGGATTGGGATGCGTGACGTGAATCCACAAAGAATCTATAAAATGTTTTTTGTTTTTTTGTTTTTTTTTTTAAATTAAAATAGTCATGCTAGGTCTCTACTAAAAGCTCCCATTGACTTCTTTTTATACATTTACTTTTTAATTTCATTTTGAACTCCAAACAAAGTTTTCCCACCCACCCCCTCCTTCCACCTCCTCTCACCTCCCCTCAGCAACCCCCTTCCCAGGCCATGCCTCCTCAAAGGTAAGGGCTCCCATGAGGAGTCAACAAAGTCTGGAACATTAAGTTTGGGCAGGACCAAGCCCTTTCTCCATGCATTAAGACTAAGCATGGTATCCCACCATAGGGAATAAGTACCAACAAGCTAGCTCATGTACAAGGGTTAGATCCTGGTCCTACTGCCAGGAAACCTTCAGATGGTCCAAGCTTCACAACTGACTCCCACATACGGGGGGGAGGGGGCTGGTTCTAGTTCGATCTCATGGAGTCTTCACAGCTGTGGTCTGGACTTCATGAGTTTCCATGAGCTTTGAGTGAGGTAACTAACCTAGACCCAGAAAGACAAACAGTATTTACCCATTCATAAATGGATGTTAGATGTAAAGCAAAGGAAAACCAGACTGTTATCCGCAACCCTAGAGAAGCTAGGTAACAAGGTGGACCCTAAGAGGGACACATGGATCACCCTAGGAACGGAAATTAGATGAGATCTCCTGGGAAAACTGGTGGGGGCTGGTAAGGGGGGGGGAAATGAGAACATGAGGGGACAGGATGGTCTAAATTGGGAAGAGCTTGAAGTAGAAGAGCAATGAAAGAGATATCTTAATAGAGAGAGCTATTATTCAGTTAGGGAGAAACCCGGTGCTAGGGTAATTCCCAAGAATCCACAAGGAGGACCCCAGCTCAGATTCCTAGCAATAGTGGAGAGGAGCCTGAACTGGCCTACCCTTATAATCAGATTGGTGAATGAGCTCAACTATAATCATAGAGCCTTCATCCAGTAATTGATGGAACCAGATGCAGAGATTCACAACTAAGAAGCAGGCCCAGCTCCTGGAATCCAGGCGAAGAGAATGAGGAGGGAACATATGGGCATGGGAGGCCAAGATCACGATGGAGAAATCTACAGGGGCAGCTGAACCAAGCCAAACTCTCATTGACCGCTTAACATGTTTCCGAGCGAAAGCAAAACTATAATAGCAAAAGGGGCCTTTTTAATTGCCTTAAAACCTCATGTGCTCTAAGTCCCTTCATCCTTCTCGGTACCTCTGACCCCTCTACTTCTCCAGTAAGGTTGCTGGCTTCTCTTGGCCCCATCTGCATGTTTCCTTCTCAAATCTTTGTGTTTCTCTTCCGTCTCACTGAGAGTCTCACTGAGAGGGCTGCAGAGTCTTGTTTCCTAAGTCTGCACGCATTTCACCTCCTAAGCCAATGAGGCATCTTCTGCTTACTCTGTTTTCAACCATCAGCCTCTCCCTTTGCCTTCCTTGAACTTCTTGGCCCTTTGTACATTTGCCTCAACACTTACAGCAGACGAATTTTCTCCATAGGACATAAGCTCTAAAAAAGCCGGGGGTGTTTGTATCCAAAAGTCTTTGTATCTACAGCATAGCATGCTTAAAAAGTATTTTCGTTGTTGAAATAAGTATTTAAGGGACATAGTACAAATGTCAGTACGTGTGGTTAAAAATCAGCAAGGAGCTACTTGGATAACCACAACTCGACAAACAGTTCTGGTTACCGTTTTACTGTTTCATGAGAAGCATAATTAGTGGAACCCCCTCTTATGTTTCTGTTCTGTTTGTAATGTCTCTCCCACACCCTTGCCTCCCTCTTCCTCTCCCCTTATCTTCCTCCTTCCTCCCTAGCTCCCTGCCTCCTTCCCCATCTCTCTCCCTTCCTTTTACTCTGTCTTCCCCTTTTCCAGAGTCTTTCTATAAGTGCAGACTGACTTTGAATTTGTGATCCCTGTGAATTATGGGGTTACAGATGTGCACTACCACAGCTGCTCTGTAATTTTTAACGCTCTAGCTTCTTCACGTCCTCTGCAATTCACATACCTTGACCTTCAGAGTCCTTACTGCCTCCTTCCCTCTACAGCATTCTGATACTCAGCCCAATGCAAAAGCCCTGCGACTTTTTAACTAGTTGTTATTCAATAAAGGGTTCCCATCATTACTCATCTTATATAACAGTAGGGTAACAGCATACAGTTTGAAACATATGTTAACTCACCATCTGTAGTTTCTGATGGTCTCTTATAGGTTCCGGCAGCCTTAACTCTGTTTGAACACTAGCTGGTATTTAGTGTGCTTGTCTTTGCCAGCCATTTATACCCCCCGCCTGCATAAACACACACACACACACACACACACACACACACACAGAAAGAGAGAGTGTTTAGTGCCTTGACATCACTCCGTCCATCATTTGATGGCCGCAGTGTAGCACTCAGAGGTTGCATCCCTCATCTCACCATTGAATGTGTCAACATCTTGATCCTGAAGCAGAACTATGAGAAATTATTTTTAGCATGTATGAATTATCTGCTCTTAGGGATTCTGTTGTTGCTACACAAAAACCAGCCAAATAAGAGAATTAAAGTGCACTGATTCGGGAGGAGCTGCTGGACACTGAGACAATTTTCTCTTTTCATGTCTTGCCTTACCAAGTGTGGGCACACATTGCTAGTTGTCTTCCCCGAATTGCACAGTGGTTAGTAACAGTGCTGTAAGTTGGGACTGCTACCAGAGCAAAGGATTGCTCATGATTACAATGTGCCTGGTGTGTTACAAAATGTGAAATCAAGTCCAGATACTTTAAGAAGGAAGAGCATGAAGTTGACACCAGGAGAGACCCTTCAGAGCTAATCTGACCCTGATCAGCTTTGTGACTTCTAAAGAACCTAAAGAACGCATTTCGCCTAGATAGCTTTTCATTTCTTTGTGAGTAAAATGTAAGAACCGAATCGACTGGATTCTCTCAGGGGGCCCGCTGCTCGGACTTCCCCTGAATGATGCTTTGCACTCTGCCCTTGGAAACAGGAAGTGTCCTCTCAGTCCCCAAAGGTACAGGTGAGTAATCATCCCGTAATGCATGCTGGGTGAGAAGCTGTGTCCAGCTCTGATTATGCTTTAGTCAGAGGACCCTGAGTGCTGCTGTGGGTGGGCATGTCATCCCCACCTTGCAATCGAAAGACTTGTAAACAGATACACACATGGGTCTGAAAAAATGCAGATAGTGTAGTAACTGTTCAGGGACCGCCCAGCCAGAAAACATGCGATTTCCCCTCAGTCAGACCAACTTGGCATTCTGAGTACAAGCTCACAGGGGAGGGGGCTGGGCCTCTCCATGCAGGAACTGGAGTCAGAGGCTTCCCCTGCTGCCTGCAGGGAGAGACCATTAGGAATGCCTCCCCGTGCCTGGTTTCCTGAGGTATCTGACGTTAGACACTGGGCCCGGAGCACTCTGAGCACATCTCACCCGCATCTCTGCAGGAATCAGGATGCAGGCCAAATACAGCAGCACGAGGGATATGCTCGATGAGGATGACACCACTGTAAGCCTGTATTCTGGAGCTTCTACTGTCACCAGACGTGCAGAGCCCAGGCACCAAGGTACTTACTCCTGTCTCCTAGATCACAAACAGACCAGAGCCCTGGAGAAATTCTTGAGATGAGGCACTTTTTCTAGGCATGTGCGAGGCAGAGAGAAGGGAGGGAATCTTCCTGTGGCTTACACTGAGGAGTAACTGCACTTTCCATAACTTGTCTGCAGGCATGTAACATTTGAAAATGGAAATTCACACAGGGGTTTGTTTCCCTAACATTCTGTCTCTGGTTTGCAAGGAGGGGGATATGGATTTTCCGATTAGGTATAGCAGGGAAAGATGGGATTGTCTATACCTTAAAGCAACATCTGTTTCCCTTTCCTTTCTCACGGCCTGTCATTGTCCGTGCGGATTGGCACCTGTGATGTGGTTTAGAAATCTAGGTTAATAAAAATGACCTTTTGTTTTCACATTTACACTCTTGACTTTGAGAGATTTCCAAGTGGGCTAATTAAGTCGGGTATGTGTTAGAATTTGTGCATCTCAAATTGCAAGACCTTGGAGAAGTCATGTTAGCACCAGGGATTGGCTTTATCCTCTGTGATATCAAGGGCAATGGAAGGAAGCAAAGCCTCCCTAATGTGTCTCCTTAGGTCTGAAATTCTGTGATTTGTTAACTTAAATACAGAGCTCAGATTCATTTGCATCAAATTCTTAGTCCCTCACCGGACCCCAAGCCTTTTCTTTTGGTTCTGAGGTTGAACATAGGGTCTTCATCATGATAGCAACAGAACAGCACTGAGATACGGTGTAGAAACTCCTTTTAATCAGTGTGAGACAAGATCTCAGTAAGTTACCGACTGGTCTCAAACATGCAACCTTCCTCACTCTGTCTCCCCAGTAGCTGGATTATAGGCATGCACTATCATAGTCTGCCCCTTTGCTCTGTTGGTTTCAGAATATTGACATGATTGTATCTTATTTAGAAGACATTTGATCTAGCTTGTGTCGTACTAGTTTCTTTACTATTATTTGCCTTATTATAGAATAGCACTTTCCCATTCCACTTATTTTTATAATTCACACAAGTAGATGCTTGGTTGTCTTATAGCAGACATGTGACTTGGTTCTAGAGCAAAACCCCAATCCATATTACAGATAGATAGCAAGCCATGTTCAGGTTCTTATACCAAGTAATATTAATGTCTTGAGGCTTTTGTTTCATTGTTTATAAAGTATTAATGATGGGATATGGGCATTAATGTATATTCTGGGCCTGGGGTTACTTTAAGTACCTTTTGCACATTTGTTCATATTAACTTTAGCCGGGAACAGAAGCAACACAACTTCTCTACAAGGCATCTAAGAGTATAAAGAATGACAAAGGTACATACTCTAGAAATGTTTCTCTCAACATTCCATCCTTTGCAAATTCCTAGAGTGTTCTGTTTAACACTTCTGTGTCAGTCTCCATCAGTGGCACCTACTCTCTGGCTGTGTCTTCAAGACATTTATTTACTTTGCCTTGTGACCAGATCCAGCGTTTCTTCACGTCTGTGAATTGGGACACATTTTTTTTTAAACTGTTCTCTCTTTTATCAAATAGCTTTCAGTGTCCCTCCTTTTCCTTTATAAAGCTGTTTCATACACCTTCTGTTTGTAAATGATTGTTCCCTGAGGCCTACTGATATGGTTGCTTGCTTTCCCACTAAACTACACAGAGAGCCATTTAAAGGGTATTGGGATTTCCAACTTCCTTGACTTGGAGCTACGAGGCTACAAGAGGCAGGGTATGGGTGATGCTTCAGGCAGGAATGGAAAGGCCTTCCTGCAGCCATCAGTCCACAGGGCCGTGGTCTCAAGAGGACCATGCACAATTTTGTTTTTCACCTTTGCCTAGAGATGGGCTAATGACCTGCATAAGAAGGAACAGTGTGTACAAGTAAGTCCCTCAAGATTAATGGGTGGAGACAGAGGTGGGGCAAGATGAAGCCCTTGGTACAACATTTGGCAGCCTCTTTGAAAGAAATAGAAATTGGAACAGTGGGAGAGAAGGTTACAAGGAAGTGGCTCAGAGTCAAACATCTGGAAAAGGTTTCCTTAGCCTGCCTGTGTGCTATGTCGATTTCATCTTGTGATATTCAAATATTTCTTAAGAAAACATATCTGATACACCTTAGCTGTACAAACAACAGTAGAGATCTTATTTCTGTTTTCTGGCAACTTCAGATTTGATATGAGGCTGTGACAAAATAGGAGAGGGCATTTTTTAACTGTTTCATTTCACTGCAGGTGTTTTGGGGATTTTAATGTTAATCATATAAAAACCAGGTTTGTCTAAAATACCAAACTGTTAAGAGAGAATATCAAGAATAAAATAAATAACCATACACACAAATTCCACACATTCAGATCAGGATGAGCAAAAGACTGCCACACAGTGACAGGTATGATAGATCTTCAGCCATGAGCTGTGAGGGAAGCTGGTTCTCAACTCAGCTTCACATATAATTACATGCTCTCTTGGAGAATGTGCAGGAGACACATGAAACCTGGTCATTTAAGGGTCTAAAGGAGACCCAGAAAGATCTGGAGAGATTGGGCATTGCATTGAGTTGGTTTTAGGATTTTCTATATTATAAAGAACCAGGAGTGGAGTGTCCAGACTTGAGGATGCTCAACAGAGACAGAATTATGAAAGGAACATGAGGGAGACTTTCAGGACCTCTGTATTCAGAGAACTGTGTGCAGTAAGTATGGCTGGGGTGCAGAGCTGAGGGGTGGCTTGAGGAGCAGGACTGGAGAGCTAAATAGTGTCTTTTAGGCCATCTGAAATGTTTTAGTTCTGTTCTGTAGTTAAAATGAAATCAGTAGGGGAAAGAAAGATACAGAGAGACAAATAATGTATTCTCAGAAGTATGTCTAAGCTATGCTGGGATGGACTGGAGCACAATCCACAGAGCCAATGCCTCCAGTACTCTAGGTAGAGGTAAGAATCCTCAACTGAGGAAGAAGAGTTAGAAGGAGGAGGAGAGAGCAATTGGATGGATACTGAAGACAGGAGCTTCAAGGTTTGGGTTGGGTTACCTGTGAGGAGACAGGAACGAGATGTCAGTCTACTGTCAGATGTGGTGTGGGAGGTGTTGTCATGACCTGAAATAGAAACTACAGGAAGAACCATAGGGTGAGGGATTCAGCCTGAGTCCAAAGGTCTGCAAGTGTAATGCCTCTGGAATTGTCTAAAGACTCATATATTTGAAGAATATGGGTTCAGGGTAAAAATTTGAGCTAAATATATATGTAGTAATCAGTGGCACGATAAATGAATAAATCATTTAAGTGATATGAATAGAAATTAAACATTGATATGAGTGAATCAGATCACCAAGGGAGGGGATATATAGCCAGAAATCTAGAAAACAAAATGGACTGGAAAGGAGAGAATCCAGGGAGTATCAGCCACAGGGTCTGGAGAACAAGAAGGCTCAATGGGAGGCTAATAGGAAGGAGCAACAGAGAAGGAGGAAGCAGGACTCTGGCAGAAAGAAGCTTCTGGAACATTTGGAGAGTAAACTCAAAAAAAAAAAAAAAAAAAAAAGGTGGGAAGCTGATGGCAAGCAATCTTGGAATGTTAACAATAACAAACACCGTAGATCAGTGGAGACGACACAGCTTATTGTCTCAACAATGAGAAAAATGGAAGCTTATTTATCATCTTAATTGTCGATTTTTAAAGGCTGGAACTCCCCACGTAGCCGAGAATGGTTCTGAACTTAAAAACTCATCCTGTCTCAGCCCCACAAGAGGTGGGGTCACTGCCGTGTGCCACCATGCTGGTCAGGCTATTGGTTTATTCTATAGCAGTATGTCAGAAATGGGCTGACGAAGAAGCAGACCTATCTGTGGTTTGCCCCATTTTTCTTTTCTTTAAAGAAATATAGTATGTTATTGCAAGGTACCACAAGATTGAGTGAGGACATTTTTAATTTAATTTAATTTTTAAGGGAGAGATTCTAGCCACACTGTAAATTTAAAAGAAGCCATTGATGGCCGGCCATTCACCTGAACAACATCAAGGGTAGGGAGATGATCTCGAAGAAGGACCAAGATTCCTATTGAAGTGGGAATGCTATTCTACCAAAAGGATAAGGAAAAAACACTTTTATTAATGATACTTTGAAAAACACATTTAAAAAATCAATACCAGGTCTGCATTGCCCTGCCCTTATTATTGCAATATTGTCACACATTTTCTGGCTTTTTAGTTTCATTTTAACATATCTGCATTGAAGCAGCAAGACACAATCACATTTGCATGATCTCATACATCTTTTAGGCATACCCACTAAATATTAAACACCATAGTAGCCACTGGGGAATTTTTTTTTTTAATTTTTGAGGCAATTGAAACTACAGAATAATCAAAATCAACAGTTAAAAGAAAAGTAGTGACCTTAGTGTTGTTGAAGACACATTGGAGACCACAGAAAGACTCTTTGCTTTGTGCATCCTAAAAGAAGCTGTGAGTTTTCCCAGTTAGAGCATTGGTTTTCTACTCTATGGATGACAGTATGGAGGTGACATTAGAAAGAAACAACTAGCCTGGTACAAAATGTCAGGTAAATAAGAATTTGGAAGAAAACTATTGGTACTAATTTTGGATTAGGATTTAGACCAGCATAAATTGGCTTTGAGAATCATGACAAAACTTGTTACAAAGGGTTACAGCTGAAAATGGGAAGTCCTCAGAGGAAGAAATGGATGCAGAGAATTTAGGGGAAGGAATAGAGGTTTAAAAACAGAACCAGTAGTCTGGAGCCATTGCTAATGTATTTTATTTAAAAATGATTTGGTGGAAAGCACTTTTTTTCTGTAAAGAAAAACAAGGTATGATTATATTCGTATTTTACAAAGTAAATCTTTTTGGAAGAATGGAGAAGTATGACTTATAATCCTAGCTGTGATAGTTTATAATGTAGAAATGAGAAGTCACAAACCCTCAGACACTGGGGTCTTTATGTAATTCCAAATTGAATTTCCATACAAGGTTAAATATTAATGTATGAA